ACAAACAATTTAAATGAAAGAAAGGAACCTACGTTGTGTTAAATATTTTTTTATTGTGATTACCTCGGATGCGCCTCGACAAACTGATGTCAAAAGCAATATTTTGGGAAATTTGAGGAGAATAGGTTATGTAAATAAAACGCTAAATTTGTAAATAGCCCTACTTATTTTATTAAATGAAATGAAAGGAGTGCCGTACTCTGCCTGGAATTCACATGTAAAAGGGCACGGCAGAGAAAACCATGATCACTATTCCAGAGAATCTAACTATGCTGTCCTGAACTTTAATAAAAGAGAAATAATGATATAGAAACTGTCCTCATACCTAGGTTTATAGTTTAATACATTCAAAACATGCCACATATATCGTTCAAAACTGAAGAGGTTTTTGTTAGTTTAACGGGTCCCCACCCGTAGGTACGAAGTCCCTTGTTGCGGAATCGACGCTAAAGTTGAAGGTTTGGTGCCAATATCTTATAATTTAATAAATTGTAAGTTATTCTATGAATTATTTTATTTATTGTTTTTGTTTGCCCTTTTGCGAGCTAAGATATTCGCCCATGCAAGGTCGAAAATTGTTAGTATACACTCAACAAGGCTCTTATTCTCACAAACCACAAACATCGGCATGAAGGAACAGTAAACGATTTTATTTAGATTACTTTTAAACTGAAATTATTTACAGCATAAATAGAAATGCATACAGATGTTATATATTGTCTTTGTCAGATCAAATGAATAAGGAAAAGCTTTACAACAGAATTACAACAAGAAAACAAAATAATATGATTTAGTTAAATAATGAGAAAACATTTACTTTACCTTTAATAATATTCTTTGTCACAAAACTCAAGAACCAGAATAATATCAATGCCTCTCGAATGGTAGTCTAGAAGCTATTATCTAACAACTATCACCTCTGTTCGTCGCCTGATTTCCCTCTCCCTAGTTTGTGAATAATATTTTAAAAATCAATAATTTTGTTTATGTATACAGAGTGTCTTAAAAATGAATGTTTTGAATTTAAATAAATATGTCTATTTTTAAATAGGCGGTTCATCTCAATATATTTTCTGTAACTGTAGGCTTTTGTCTTATTTGAACAACTTTTAAATTACAACATGTATTATAACATGGTAGCGTAGACAGCACAACAAACTGCACATTGCCTGGTTTTGAATTGTTACCTGTTCAGTTTTAATTTAAAATATCTATGCAGTTTTTCTTGAATTAGTAGTAAAGCTGGATTGTCCAAAGTTGCTCAAATTTGACATGTGTATTCAGCATACGCAGATCTTTAATAAACCTATTTACGACTTCGCTGTAAAATCAACAAGGGAGCCAATATTTGGACAGTTCAAAATTCGCATGGAATTTTTAATGTTTCCAACGCCGATGTACCACCCCCTATAGTCAAATAGGAACATTAATTTAGTATAAAAAGCACAGATTAAATAAAATACTAATTTTATTTCTAAAGATTATTAACATCTACCGTATATCTATATCTACAAGTAATTTTTATAGACACTGAAGAGTCGAGAGTGAATTAAAGCTAGAAACGAATAAAAAAAGAATAATATAACTTAAAATTACCTCAGAATCGAAGGAATAAATCAGAAAACTCGCTTTTAATATTAATAAGCAGCTTCCGAGAGAAACCAAAACACCATTGGTCAGTCGCTAAGGTTTGGTGATGCCTGCTCGAAATCTCCAGCCTCTATTGGATAAAGTAGAGGGTTGAAATGTAAACGCAACCCCGTTTCCAGTGTTCAAGGCGGAGCCTGATAAAGGGTAATCTTGCACGTTGGGAAATATTGTCATTCGCACCCCGAATGTCTTAGCGGTTAGTTGGTGGTTGATCCTGTGGGATAGTGTTTATTTTGTGTTCTTCATGTAAATTCGGATACAGTTTTGGTTTAAGTGTCGGTATATGAGAGAAAATCAAGTAAGTTAATGTCATTTTTTCAAATATAAATTTCAGTTCTTCTACTAAATCTTACTCGAATAAATAATATAAAACTTCCCGCTATATAAAAATATAAAGTTTATAAACTATAGTGAGTCTTTAAATACATATTTATTAGTTTATAGTTTACAGTATTTCTTTTAAATCTGTTTGCGTTTTTGTATAAATCTAGTCTTGAAACTTTTCACTTACTTTTTGAAGCTATATATTAATTTTTATGTCAATTTTTAATAACCGCTATGGCTCTTTTTTTTCAATCATACGGTTACTATTATTTACTTAAAAAAAATATACCTAGAACATTTATAGCTTTTAAAATTAAAAATCTCGTTGTAACGCTCTATATAAATTTATAAAATAAAATCTGATGTTTTTAAAATTTCAGAATGGATACAATAAAATCAAATTTGGCGGATTCTCCAAATTCTGCTTTACCTCTTAAAAAAGAATTGACGCCAAAACCTAATCAGGTAATTCTCATATATAATACTGTAAATGTGGCACATTATATAGTTCCCTGTGTTATTTTTTTATTTCTTCTTTAAATTGTTTTTTTAAAGATAGTGTCATATTGGTGTCTCTTTTTGGGTTTGCTTGTAGATTTCTATCTAGTAAATATTTTGAAAAAAAAACCTTATGATGTCATGAAAATAACGTCAAAGTAGGGGTAGTACTTATATATTAGTAAACTCGTAGGGGGCATATTAGTTAACTCGTATTATCAGTTAACTCGTAGGGGGGCAGATTGACTTTAGTCATTCTACCTTGGGGGTGCTTGGGGAGTGACGCCCCCACGGTCCTGGACTACACGGACTTTGTTTTGTATAGTGATGAGCAACTGCAAGACCGAGATCAAGACTCGCTTGGTCCTGGTCTTTGCCTTGCAGGGTCCAGTCTTGGTCTTGCTGCAAGATTCTTGCAAGTCTCTAAGTTCTAATGGATTTTTACTCAAGGCATTTTTTACATTGAAAATCTTTAAACAAATTTTAAGTAATTTAATGCCAAGGAAACTTTTTGAAGAAAGTCCATAATTTTTTTTAATAATTTGTCCCATAATTTTTTTTAATATACAGGGTGGGCCGAATTTAAATCGAAAAGATTATTTTTTATTTATATTTAAATCTGCAGATAAAAATGAGTAAAAAACTTCGTATAAATGTATGTCCAAAATGCTTCGTTTCGGAGATACAGGGTGTAGAAGTTTCATCTTTATTTTGGTTCTTTCCAAATAATTTTTGAAGAAAGAAATAATATTTGTCCCATAATTTTTTTTAATATACAGGGTGGGCCGAATTTAAATCGAAAAGATTATTTTTTATTTATATTTAAATCTGCAGATAAAAATGAGAAAAAAACTTCGTATAAATGTATGTCCAAAATGCTTCGTTTCGGAGATACAGGGTGTAGAAGTTTCATCTTTATTTTGGTTCTTTCCAAATAATTTCTGAATTAACGTAGATACTTGGATGAAAATTGATGTCTGGTTTTTGATGAAATTTTGCCACAAAAAAAATCCAAATTTATTACTTCGGTCTAATAACTATCTAGTCTACATGTTTATTTTTTGTCAGTGGTGACATATTGATTATATATCGATTCCACATATCTTGAGAATGGTTGCTCGTTCCGATTTTTTCCAACGCACCCTTTTTGAGTAAAAAAATGGGGGAAGTGTAAGTTGTTTGGTTTGTTTTCTTTTTCAGTAGTATAATACAGGCACGGACAAAAAGTTATAATTCAAGACAGTTGAAAATGTGTGCCCCCTACAAGTGGGAGGGAGTCTTACTACCATCAAAATTCAATTTCTCATGTAAAAAAATACACAGATACCAATTTTCATCCAAATATACGTTAGTTCAGAAAATATGTTGGAAAACCTATATAAAATGAAATTTTTTAACCCTGTATCCCCGAAACGAGGCATTTTACTTATTTACAGAATATGTTGCCAAAGTTTCCCGATTACAATTTGAACCACCCTGTATAAGTATTACTTTTTTAATTTTTCTTTGAATAAATCGTAAAACACTATTTATAATAATTTAAAACAATCATTTTGAATCAATACGTAACTTTTTATATCATATTTATTTATTTGAATGGTCCAAAAACTATGAGCGACTTAACTAATACCACATACTAATATAGCACAGTCTAATACGGTTATATTCGGTATGTTTCAACCAAGACCATAAGACCTAGACCAGTCTTGCTCATCACTAGCCTTGTATCCTGTAGAGGTAAACACAAATGTGTACCTGATGCAATAGGTAAAGGTAAAGGCAATAGGTAAAGTCAGGACCAACTAATTGCAAAGACTAACGAAGGTTTTCCTCTGGATTCTTGTTGAATTCGATTGTGGCCACAAGGACAAAGACGTAGTGATCGGTCACTTTGCAGGTCAGAATCCAACACTAAGTATACTAAATTGGTGCCTAGTTCATCATGAGGCTGAAGTATGATAACACCAACACATTACGAATAAAAACATGAGAGTTTTTTAGAGTTAGCTCTTTCGATGTTTTGTCGGTGGTCTTGTCTTGAAGGCAAAAGGCTTTCCCATCAAATATATGACGGAATAAAAAAAAATTGAATTTGAAAGTGCTGTGCAGCTTGGTACACAACCAGGTATTTCCCAATGAATCCCGCAAATAAACGATACATCTGGGTGAAGTCCTGTTACAGTGACTGTTATACGGAAGACATCCCTGAGACATATTGCCATCTCCTTTTATAAATTAGATTTGTGATGACTTAGAATTTGGATGATGTGTGTTCTCTGAAGAAGGATGTATAGATGGTCCAATGATCAGATTTCAGTTCTTGATTTATTTGAATGTCAAACATTAATATTACAATAGGAAAAATATAAATATATATCTAAATTACTTAATCTTTTGATTGATCCAATTGAAATATTATTTCTACACCTACCGCGATGTTCTTTTCATTGAATCAAAGGGGTAATTATTTTAGTTAAGACACACATTATTTAAAGTATTTAGGGACAAAAAGTAACTTATATTAAACAAATCAGTTTCAGGTGTCTACTGTAGTATTGTATGGTGTTCCTATAGTTTCGTTAGTAATAGAAAATCAAGAGCGTTTATGTTTAGCACAAATATCCAATACCCTTTTAAAACAATTTAGCTACAACGAAATACACAATCGTAGAGTTGCTTTAGGTAACAAGTAAAAACATTCGACGATGGTTGTCATATTTTATGAATGTGTTCTGTAGGAATAACTTGTGTCCAGTGCACTCCAGTTCAGTTAGAGATCCTTCGCCGAGCTGGAGCAATGCCTGTATCTTCCAGAAGATGCGGAATGATAACCAGGCGCGAAGCAGAACGTCTTTGTAAAAGTTTTATCGGAGATAACGCTCCACCAAGGCTTCCAGACGACTTTGCCTTTGCAGTTCATCACGAATGTGCTTGGGGCTGCAGAGGTTCTTTCCTTCCGTCACGATACAACTCATCGCGAGCTAAATGCATTAAATGTTCCGCTTGCGGATTGTTCTTCTCTCCAAACAAGTTTATTTTCCATTCTCATCGTTTAAGTGCCAACGACAAATACGTTCAGCCCGACGCTGCAAATTTTAACTCATGGAGAAGGCACATGAAGCTTAGCGGAAGTCCTCCCGAGGAAATAACGCATGCTTGGGAAGATGTCAAAGCTATGTTTAATGGCGGGACTAGGAAAAGGCTGTTGAGCTCGTCGTCAGTGTCGCATTCTCCGAAACAGAATAGGATACAATCCCAGGGACAACCAATTATTCCCTCACCGCGCTTAGCAAGTTGCCAGGATATCCCTCTGCCAATATCTCGGGTTGCCATGGATCTGATTTATCAAAAACCTCTTTCTTTTTCTTCTTATTCTTCTCTCTCGTGGCTCAAAGGCAGTTCTATGATTTTCCCACAAGACAATCCGTTCTTTCCCATGGACAAAACGTACCAATCTGCTTTCAAGCCGGTTCAGCCAGTCGTTGAGAAAGCCTGGTCCCAGAAATCAGAAGATAGTGATAATGAAGTGGATATTGAAACAACAGACGATAACATAGAACCTTCATCTAGCTGGGATTTGAAAGATGAGAAGGTGAGTGTTATTAAAATATAGTGGTAGAAAATGATGTATTGGACTTCCACTGTCTATATTTTAAGACGTTATACAAAAACAGTTTCACGTCCTGAGCAGTACAACTATCTTTAAATGTTATCGAGTAAATATTTTAACTTGCATTAATTTGTTTTGGTATAAAACTTAACAGTTAACAGTGGATGGTCAAGAAAGCATTTAGTTTTTAAAAGACCAAATTTATTAATTACATTATTAAAAATGAATTTCGTTCCAAAACTGATGAAATATATATTGTTCTAATTTTATATTTAGATTATTTTGTTGGTGTTAGTATTGGTAATAATATAAGTGCTTCAGTAAAACTAATGATGAAAGTTTAGAAGATGTAGAATATATGGGAGGGGGGTTAATCACCGCGACCTTATAGATCTATTGTGTCCCCTTTCTTTGAGCTACAACTCATTATACAGTCTCAGGCCTTTGGCAAAAGCCAGAATCTGTCTAAGAACCAGAGATTAGTTCTCCATCTCCGATATCAGTCGTACCAAAGTTCTTGGCACGAATGGACGTCGTCTCGGTGCATTCAGTGATGAGGTGTTCTGGAAGTTTAGAAGATACTGTATACGTTATTTTTTTATGTTCCGATGAACTGAATTCCATATATAGTTAGTTCAGTGAAATAAATGATGCCTTGCCTTAAAGTTTCTTTTACTAAACATTCATATCTAAATTGTAATTTTTAAAGTTATTGGCATCAAAAATAAAGAATTGAATAAACTGCTACAAATATAATAATTATTTTTGTATATAGAGTCTGGAACAAACCAATTAAAATACCACTTAAAAATCATTATTTAAGAAACTCATTAGAGAAAATAACTAGACCGTTTATTGAGCTGGAAGATTTAACTAAAGGTTAGATAAGGATAGAAAAAAAAACACACACAAATCTAATCCCGCTTTATACTTTTATAAAGGACGAAACTAATACGTGACGAGGAGCATTTTCCCTTGGGAGGGGTACGAATTGAAGCAGTTACAGTGGGCCCCTCTTGTTGAAAATAATAGCCTGAAGATGAGTGAATTTCATTGCTTATAACAGACGTTCATTAAGAGAAGGGTATTAGCCACAGATTACAGGTATTTTGCGACAATTAAACGGTGTTTTTCAATTGGAACGTGCGGTTTGATAAAAATCTCAACGAAGCTTAGAGGATTAAAAATGTTTTTAAAGTCGTATTAATTCTTTTATATATTTTTTTTATCTAGAACCAACATCATCATATTTTCGTATTCAGCATTTTAGATTTACTGTACATAAGACAACTGAAATGTATTGTAAATTACTGCTTACTGGAATCTTTATTTATCATCTGTATACAGGGTGTCCCAGAAATAAGTGCAAGTATTTTAACTGGTAGTATAGTTCAACTCCAGAAACACGCCTATGAGGTTTTTTTTGCGGACATTTTTTTTTTAAATTCGAAATTTTTTGAAAAATTTTTTGGAATTTTTTTTAGTTTTTAGTTAAAAAACATAATTTCTTGATAATATGGCAACATAGGTATTAGATTAAATTTACAAGAAAGAAAATCCAGAAAAGATTCATTCAAGAAAAAAATGATTTTTTGCTAAAATTTTGAGAACCAGAAATTTTCAAAGTAAAATAACTCGTTATTTCGGAATTATTTGAAAAACAATAAAGAGAAAATATGTTTCTTTTATCGAGATCTACCACCCCTTAAAATACTTGCACTTATTTTTGGAACACCCTGTATATGTTTCTATTTTATGTAGTGTCGTGAGTCTGATTTAAATTTCAATTTTGTTCCATTATCTACTTCTGCAAGTCTAAAGTTAACTTTAGAACGTAGACAGTCTATGAAGCTCAGAATAGACTGTCTACGTTCTGTAGTATGACTATCTATATCCAGATCACCTTCTGTCTGGATATAGATAATTTAAACGGCCAGTACAGTGAAATAGATAGACTGCAAAAAGATCATATGCTTCATAAATTTCAATCACTGATGAACAATCTGTAGATCTTATGGTTATACTATCAAGTTGGAGTCAACTCTAAAATTCTACCACAAATAAAATCTACTTGCTATGTAAGTGTCACCTGAATAAAATAAAGACGACAAATGTTGCTATTGAATAAATGCAACAAAAGTAAAGTAATTTAACTGTAAAGGAACTGTGGGAGTATACAATAGAATTTTACAAATTGAAAGAGTAAATTTAACGGCTAGTTGATGAAAGGGATGGCGCCCAAACAGATTACAAAATTTACAAGAAATATAGGGTTTATCCAGAGTCTTTTACTAAATATCTAAAAGACACAATTCTACAAGAGGCTTCTGCACTTTGAAATTGTAAATTTATCAAGGACGCGTGTGGAGACAACAGACCTAATTCCAAAAATGCAACGACCAACTTCTGACTGTGTGTTACAAATCTGAATAAGATTTGTACTTTGAGAATGCCAACATAGAAAGGTGATGAAGATTGTGACACCCCAAAAAATAATGAGCTTTATAGGAAATGTATTATTACTAAACTTTCTATAAAAGATATAGTCTTACTATAGATCAGAGTTATTTAGAAATGATCTAAGCTTGTCGAAGTGATAAGAGGCGCTGGCCTTACAACTCAATGAATTAGTAGATATATACTGAATTGTCAGAAGTTTTCTGAAAAGAAGTAATTAGTTCTGACATACAGTAGTAGTTCAGTAATACAGGAGAAATCAGAGTTATGTTTTGTAAAAGTCAATCATGATAAATATAACGCGTGTCCTGGTAAGAGATAATTAATTTCTAAAGTAAACGAAGGAACGTTAAATATTAAAAGAAGATCAACTAGGAAAAAACAACTGTAAAAACCGGTGACAGGCGCGTAAATATCCACAGTGGAAGTGTAAATATTGTACAGGGTGTGTATACTGCCACCCTTTTCACCTCGATTAATGTGTTGGTCTTTTTAATCAATTGTAATTCAATACGTAAGTGTTTGTGTTTAATGGGACAAGAGGAGAGCTTTCTAAATGATTAAAAGCAAATATCTTCCGCGAACGATGACGTTTACGTTAAAATTAAAGTTAAATTAATTATGGAGCCGTTACTAAGTACAACGCGTTCTTTAAACAAAAAGCCGGGTCCCATTTTCAAGCCTTTTTTAATTTTCGTCGATATTTAATTAGATTTTCTATTTTAATTTAGATTTAGATTGTTAGTTAATTTGTTTATTGCATTTGAAGGATTGTAATTCGCCTTATGCTCTAAATAATAATTTTTAAACGTGCTTACGCTAATTCTGTTCACGTGTCACGTATACCGACCTTCTCTAGAAAGTAAACATCTCCAAATTTTGTATATTAAAATAATTTATGTGTATTTTAAGAAACTTATCTTAAATTTACTCCCAAACACATACAAGGGTAGTTGTGAAGGTGAATATTATATGTTTTTTAATAAATGGTTCTAGGCTCCAAATTAAAAATTTTAAAATCTGTTAAATATACAGGGTGTCCCAGAAATAAGTGCAAGTATTTTAAGGGGTGGTAGGTCTCGATAAAAGAAACATATTTTCTCTTTATCGTTTTTCAAATAAGTTCAAATTAACGGGGTTATTTTACTTTGAAAATTTCCAAAAAAAATGATTTTTTGCTAATATTTTGAGTCCACTGGATCTTCTCTGGATTTTCTTTCTTGTAGATTTAATCTAATACCTATGTTGCCATAATATCGAGAAATTATGTTTTTTAACTAGAAACTAAAAAAAAATGGAATTTTCAAAAAAAAAATTTCGCTCAAAAAACCTCATAGGCTCAAAAAACCTCTAGGGTTAAACTATACTACCAGTTAAAATACTTGCACTTATTTCTGGGACACCCTGAATAGGGTTGCATATAGGTATTTCCAAAAAAAGTGATTTTTTGCTCAAATTTTGGGGACCACTCGATCTTTCCTGTTTTTTTTTTATAAATTTAATGTACTACTTATGTTGCCATATTATCAAGAAACTGACTAAGAAATATACTACCCCTAAAAATATTTGCACTTATTTAAGACTCACCCTGTTTATTAATGATTAACGAATAATAATGTAAATAAGCCAAATCAACACAAGGTGGCGCACCTCATTCGCCTCGGTTGATTATACCAAGACAGAAAGATATAGAAACAAACACTTTTTTATTATAGCATGCATATTTAAATATCTTTAAATATCTCAAAACCCAAAGTATTTAAACATATTAAACCCTTATAATAAATGCCTTAGTTTATGTTTACGCCTGTGTTCTGCAATGTCCATATATGTTTTATTTGCAATTTTATGACGTAATTTTTTTTTTGAATTGATTTGTATTGTATGAAATTTTTTGTATTATTTGTATATTTGTTTTTGTGCTTTTTTGGTTTTGCTTTGTCGATGAAGCTGTTTTGGCTTCATTAATACATGAAAACTACGTTAATAAACTATGTATTGATATTATGAATAACTTTCCTTTGTATGAGGTGTAATAGAGATAATATGATGCAAATATTATATCTAAAGCCATATTTCTTCTGTTTTCTTAAATACATTATGTGTTTTTAAAGCTTCAACTTATTATAACCTCGCCCCAAACCTTTATATTTGAAAGTTACATACATAGGTTACATAAACTACACCCTCTACATAAACTACATTAACTACATGTAATGTAGTTTATGTAGTTTTTAAAAGTAACATGTAGTTTTCCGAACCCTGAAAATAAGTCACGAAAAAAAAATAAAAATGATAAACCTTGGCAGGTCAGAGTTTTAATAAATTTTTACTTTTATGTTATTTAATATAGAGTTAATTTGTTTATATTTAACGGATTATAAATGAGTTAGTGATTGAACATAGGTAATATTATTATACCTACATATTATTATGTAACTAAAAAAAAGGAGGAAAACGGATGGGAAAAGGTAAATAAATAAAAAGTCAAAAATACAAATTTATTGGCCTTTAAATAAAATTAA